AATGCTTTCTCTTGCCAATCAGCATCACCTTCATGTTATCTAGAAAGAGCCTGGGCCAACTGGCTTGCATCTATGCCTTATCTCTGCCAGACACAAGGAAGCTGTAGTGTTTGGTTTCAGTAGAGTTTGGTGTCATCAGGATATCGATGACACTGTAGCGCATACCGATTCCCATATCACAGATATGTTTTGAACAAGAGGGGTGCCAGTACTGTGATACTGCACAACCGAGGGCATGTCTACACTGCCCCAAAGTTCAAATTACAGGGGCGTGAATAGCAGTGTGCACCAAAGTGCTATGCTGTAACCCTTCCATGTGGATGCTCTGGGCATGAACTGAAAGGTTCCTAGTTCACATGAATGTAGTCTTCTTTGAAGAGGAATACAGTAAAGCAAAGTAGGAATCTTTTTGTTTGCACCTACACGGGGGAGTTACAGCAGAGCACAGACTACTCACACCTCTGTACTCTGAACTGTGACCAGTGTAGGCAAGACCTGAAAGCCCTTGGGAAGGAAAATTAGTTACCTATTACCAGCTTCTGGGAACTTCTTGATGGAAATTAGCAGAACTACCATTATTTCCTCCCTTTGCCATGTCAAGAGCACCACGTGGTGAACAGCATTGAAGGCCACTGAAAGATACAACAGTATTAGCGAGGACATCTGACTTTTCTCCATTTCCATGCAGAGATTATCAGTGCCCATCACTGCAGCATTCAGGTCTGAAACCTTATTCATGTTCATAAAAGTAGAGGATGTTAGATGTTCTTGAAGTTGGCCTCCGACTACCATCTCAATGATCTCTCACAGAAAAGGGAGGTTAGGGATCAGCCAATCAGTTAGTGACATTAGCATCAAGAGGTAGTTTCATGAGAAAGGGTCAGAAAACTCCATGTTTGCAAGATGCTAGCAATGAAGTCAGTATGTTTAGCCCCTCCGGCCTTGACATTATTACCAAGCTCTTTGAGAGGCCATCGCAGAATCTTGGCAATATTCTTTGGACCTTATGTTCTCTTGCATCAAATGCTAAAACAATAAGTTATATGTACTTTGTTTTTTTCACGTGATTAAGTGAAACCTAGGGAAATAAAGAGAAATCTGTAAAGGAAACATGTGCCTATTATAGATGAACCCAAAAGCTCTGATTCTGATCTCACACTGGTAGAATCTGGGAATAACCATCATGAAGTCAAGTTAATTGCACTGGTGTAAAGCCAATCTAAGTGAAATCAGAAACAGGCCCGAAGTGTTGTCTGTTTGTTTGTTGTAGGGGCTGTTTTTGGTTGCTTGGTTGTTTTTTTATCTGCATTTGTGAGGTCTAATACTATGTTGGAACTGCTTCTGCATTCTCTAAGATGAATCTTCATATAGAATTTACTCCAGGATCACCATGGTGCATGTAAAACTAATGTGCCATTACTGGAGAGATTTGAATTCTGCCAGCTGTAAATGACATACATGAAGTGATGCTGGATACCGATGTAGCAAACTAGTGAAGTCCCTCTTATATTTGTTGAATAGATTGCAATGTAAATATGCAGCTGGAAATGTACTGACAGTAGCTGAACTGGGTGCAAATGGGTTAGAAACATCAATTGGTTAATGCATATAAAGTTTTTGGTTTTGTAATTTTGCAAAAACTGAAATTCTTATTTGTTATTTATCTGCTTTCAAAATATAACAAATAGTTCTATTGCCAATAACTGAACACCTATATTTATAGCACACTGGCGCTTCGTAAGTGTCATTTGTGTCATTATCTGCATATGTTCTAGCTTTCCTAGAGTTATAGAAATGTTATAATTATCACTAGAACTGTATGATCAAGGAGATTAGATTTTTCAATGTGACTGTTTTCTCAAGACATCCTGACTGTAGTGGAGTGACTGTGCTGACATTTGCACAGATGGACAGCTGGTGCCTGGGATATGTCTGGTTAAAATGCAGACTTGAGGAGCCTAGTTGAGAAAGCTGAGCCACTGAGTTTCTAGACTAGTTGCCTGAGTCATAAGAAAATGTAGCCTGCATTATCCTTTGTGCTAGATGTAATGGAAAACATAGTGAACCAGAGCAAAACAGGGCTATTGCTAAAACATAGCTTTTGGCAGAAGGCTACAATGATTTTATATCAGATTTTGGTATGCTTTTGTTCCATACCTAAGTAAGATATCTTTCCTGAGGGGTTCTCAGGCACTAACCTAAGCTGTTATCCATTTATGCACATAAACAGAAGGAGGCAAATTTATCCATGAGTCCAGCTGGCTAAACATACATACCAGTATATTACATTTGATAAATTACTCCTTGTAGTTGAAAAGCCCACAGTGTGAGACAGCAGTGTGGAATTCACATCTTGAAGATGGGGGCTAGATTCTGATATTAATTACACCAGCGTAAATTGTAAATCCAGAGTAGCTCCCTTTACTTTAACTCTCCAAGTCAAATTCATCCCTGATGTAACTCCAAGTCAAATGTGGCTGTGTGCGTCTGTTTCCCCCTTTATAAAATACATTCCTACCTGTCAGGCATGGTCAGTGTTCATACAGTGTTTTGAAAAGTATAAAGCGCAATATAAGTGTGAGATATTACTTTTATTATGACCCTTTAGTAGTAGATATTTATAACCTCACTGGCTGTGCTAGCTATATTTACTTCTGTACAACTTTGTGCAAATCACATGCTACTCCAGAAATCCTACTTTGAATCACATGGATAACAAATTATTGAAATGGGGCATTGAGGGAGGAGTGGTGACAAATTCAGTCATCTGTGTAAAACTCTCTTGAATGTACCTACCCCTTTTCATATGTATCACCTATTTTTATAAAGGGAGAAACAGACCAACCTGGCCACATTCCTATGGGAAGTGAGTTTTCCATCATCAGTCCCAGCAATCTTCAGTGGAGTTATGCCATCCAATAATCTGATCCACAAAGTCCACAGTCAGGTCCTAGTTATGGAAGATTATGCTGAGCCACATCGAACCACTCACTGAATTCAGGGCTAAGAACTGTCAAACCTTATCTCCTCACACTTAATAACATTACAACTAGGCCTATGTACCAGAATTTAGAGCAAGCCACCACTAATAGCAACTGGGAAGAAGAGAGTGAGGAGGAACTGGATTTGGCAACAATTGGAGCACAGCAGTTTCAACAGTTTACTTTGGAAAGTAATTGTTCACTAAACAACCATGATTTAATTACACTGGAATAATCCCAGCATTGGTAACTTTTATTAAAAACAAGACTGTGCAGCAGTTACGTAAACATTGTAGTGCTTTTAGCTGAGATTGACTGTTCACAAACCATTCAGTCACTGCACGATTTTTGAGGGCTGGACTTTTAAGTGGTTTCTCCTATTTCTTCTACATCAGTTTTAATTGCTAATAAATTAAACTTCCTGCAGGAGGAAGAGTAATGTTATTTGGTTTGCACATAGGCTGCATCCATCACCCTGGTGGATAATTAACAAGGAAGATATAAATTCTAGCGCTGCAAATTTTGGGACCAATCCTGCAGCTCATTCACTCCAGTGGAGCTACTCACATGAGTAATGGCACCAGCAGAAAGCCTCAAAGTGGTATTTGGACTGACAAAAACTATCCTGTAATAAATAAGGGATAATCTGTGTTAAGACTTAGAGCAACCGGTCTTACATACTATATTAAAGCTAATGGGCCTGATTCAACTCTCACACCAGTGTAAATCAGGTCCAGTATCTGTTTAAAAAAACCTAATTATGACATTTGTTAGTAGTTAGGAACTAGTTCCCCAAATCTGAAAATGTCTTGCTACATTAGTGCTAGATTTGTGCATTATAAATAAGTCTTGTGGACTCCATGGGGTCCTCTCCTAAACATGTACCATAGTGATTGCTAATTGGGCTGCTTTTTCTTCCTTATGCAGCCTGTCTTCTCAGGGTGATGTATGCTTAAAACCATTGACTTGGGGCATTCAGGATAGTGCCCCATGAGAAATCTATATGCCCCATAGGAAAACCTTGTGCAGCTTCTGGGCATCAAACTGGTTAAGTAACGCTAATATAAGGGGATTTGATGTTCTAACTTTAAATATCAAGGGAGCAATACCTGAAAGAACTGAGGTTGAAGCACTGTACTGAACAATTTCCTATTTATTGTAGACCATATATTTAGTAACTAATCATCCAGTCTAATAATCTAAAATAGTATTTGACAAAAAGGTCAAGTGTTTAATATTGGGGCTAGGAGAGCCATAAAAATCTATAAGGAATGAGCTACTTGGAACAGAAAGTCAGACCCAGTGCCCTGCTTAGTCATTGTATCTTTCAGTTCCTCCTTTCATTCTATAAAAATGTCTAACTCTCTTAAACTCAAATTATTCCATATGTTTACTACTTTGGGAGGACATAATTCTTCTTGAATTCCCCGCTGATTCTTCAATCCTGGATTTTTAGATCAAAAGGTTTTCTCTCTTAAAATTTTCTGGAGCTTTTCAAAATGTTTTAATGTTTTATGGAATAAACAAAGTTCTCACAAAAAGGAAAAGTACTTTGATTTTTATGGAAATGTATTTAGAATGCAATTAAGGGGATTTTAAAAATTCAGTAATTGCTTTACAAAACTTCATGTAATCTATGTTTCAAGTCCTTTGGCCAAATGAACCTCAGCCAAAAGGGCTGGAGGAAATGGGCTACATACAACTCCCACACCAGCTCTGAATTAGTGCATCCACTGGTTAAAATACAGGACTATACGTCAAAAGTGCTTGGTTCTCTTCCCTGGTCTGCTGCTGACTCATTGTCTCACTGTAAAATGGGCTTAATTCCGTACTTGGAGATCCTTGGGTGGATCTGTAGATATACGCAGTATTAATCTTGCTGTTGCACTCTCTTAACTCTGTTTCTCTGATAATGTTCAGAGTCTCTGTTCCTCATGACTCCCCACTTGTTACCAGTTTCCTTTGTTTCCACCATCTTCCTATCTGTTTCTAGGGTTTCCTCTTTTATTCTTCCTACAGGATCTCACCCTCTGCTACAGCTATTGAAACATTTAAATCTCACTCTCTACAACTCCCTGGAGAAGAAACTGAAAGAGCGAATGCTGTCAATTATCCCACCAACAGGTTTCACCCATTGTAGAATAAGTGATCAAATAAACTCCTCTGTGGAACTTACACTTGTCAGTTATATGGTGATCAGAGGGTTTCCCTGTGTTCAGATTTGCAATATGTACCTCATCCACAGTTATATGTTATAAATAGGAATACTTGGGAGGACAAATAGAGAAGCAACTGTTAACTCTGCTGAGCTCTTTGTAATGGGAGATCTTTTTGGATCAATGGACTGAGAAAAGGTTCATTTTTTTTCTTAAAAAGGGATTGTCCCTACTGAAGCAGAACAGCTGGCATTAAGAGGCTGATCCACTCCCATTGCAGTCCCTAGCCAAACTCCGAGTGGTGCAGAATCAAGCCTTCATTAAATCCATGCCCAGCCTGTGAAATTTAAAAATGTTTAAAGTGAATTTAGAAGTATGGACTTAACAAGATATATAGAAGCAAATGTAAAAAGCAAATCAAACTGAGTCAAATTCTGATCTCTATTAGACTGATATAAACATAAGTAGCTCCATTGACTTCCATGACATTATTCTCCATGCACAGCAGTGTGACGGGGAGTAAAATTCATCCATAATCTTTATCTGTTGTAACCATCTTGCTCCTTCCCTTCCTAACTGCTGCACTATTATCTAGTGTTGTTACTCTCAGTGTAATGTCTGATTTAGATGGTGAGCTTTTTGGGGAGAGTAGCTGTCTTCTTATATTTTTAAGAGCTGTATACACCTAAACTACCTACATTACTGTATAAATAATAAAGAATGCCAATTTTTGTGATGAGCCCAAAACCACCACTCCCACGTCAATTAAGGCCTATGCATTTATCATTCCCTTCACATATGTATTCACGCCAAGATAAGGACATATACATGTAAGCAGAACTATTTAGGCAAAAGCTCTTAGAGATAAAACTTTGTAGTGTCTTAGGTAAGATTTTGATCTCCAAAATCAATGGAATTACTCTGGGGCCAAATCAGGCCTATATACTATAAAGTGGTTGGAACGCTTTTGTGCTGGGTATCAGAGAAAACCCAAACTACTTGTGCTAAGGAGTGAAAGAAAATATTCTAATAATGGATGGATAATTGAGTGATGCATTGCATTTGACAATAAAGAAAAGTGTGGATGTGTCCTCATATGTAATCTAAAAGTTACTCGAGTGAGTGAGTTGTTTGTATATGCTTTCTAACACTTTGAGTTATATCAAAATTCATGATAGTTATCTTCATTTTTAATAGTTAATGAATGATCAGTGTAACATGTTGGAATAGGAAATGCTAGATGATTCATATTAACTGTTATGAAAGTTTTTCAAGGTTTGAAATGTAGAAAGAAAAGTGAAAGTTGCTATATCATCTACACAGTATTTAAAAGCTGAGACATTTCTACATGTGAGCGATGAGAAATTTTGAGTAACACAATTTGTCAGATGGTCATATGGTTTGATTTCCTGAGAATCAGGTTGAGTCCCGTTGTCCTGCATTTGTATAAGTTCTCAAACAATGAAACTGTTTTCATGTAAATTTCTTTCGACTGAAAGTCATCCTTTCATAAAATTGGTGTTACTGTATAAAGCTATATTTTTTCCCTCCGGTGGAAGATGCTTTGTAAAACCAGTGTTTTATGTTCTGTATTAGAACTAATATAAAATCCAAGATGTAAAAGTGAGTCATTAATCTTACTCAATTATTTATGACTGACAAGGAATCCAGCAACATTGCCATGGAATTCCTGTCATGCATAAACCTCTGAGAATCCTGCACTAAACACAAGGCGCCAATTCTCTGCTGGAATAAATGGGCACAGCTCCATTGACTTCAATGGAGTTTCCACAACATATTCCAGCAGAGAAACTGACCCAAAGCAGTTGAGTATACTGTCCTACAGAGACCTTTATTACCCCCTTCAGTGAGCAGAGATTTTTATCACCATGTCAGCACATAGGAGAAAGCAAACTATGATACATGCATGAACATTTCATAAAGCCTCAGATGGAGAACATAAGCCAACCACTAAGGCCAGGCTCCTCCAAGGTATTGAGGTGTCTAACTTTCAGTGGGAGGATCTAGGCCTGACTACCTGGGGATTGGGAAGGAAATGTCTCTTACAGGTAGGTCATTCTACAGTACCAGTAATTGTTTTGGTTATGTGGTACTGGCTATTAACAGACAGGATATGGGACTAGGATATGTTCTTATCCAGAATGGCAGTTCCCATGATCCTACATTGTTGTTACATTTTCTAACAGAGTCATTCCTATAGCTCCCTGTCAGCAAGGAAAAGAAAGCCGGAACAGTGGTATTAATACATACGACAATAAAGTATAGAGTTGCTTACAACTGTATTAAAGGAATAGTTATACTCATGGTAAGGGACTTTTGCCACTTTTTCTATTTTGACTTGCTGTGCAGAGGACGTGTTCTCATCCCAATTAGAGCTGTATAAATGTCCTCATTCCCGTACATGCAGCGGATCTGAGTGTGTGTGTTCTGAACATCTTTGCTGTTTCTTTGGGCTGTTTATATGGTGGATAAGAACCACCAGGTTCTACAGTTAGCCAAGTACACTCCAATCAGAGACAGTTCATCTTGTTACAGCGTACACATATTTCCTGTACATTTGCAATAAGGGTAAAGAAGACCAGTTCTTTGCTTTTTAAAGCCCTTGAAAGAAGAAAGACATACAGCAGTTTAGATTACTAGCAGACTACAATGTACGTTGCATAAAAATGTCAGTCTTAATGGCAAAGTTCAGGATAAAACTGTGTCAGCTAGTTTAATCATTTGCCATGAAATACCAGTTATCTTAATCTTACATGCAGTCTTTAAGTCGGCTGCATATTTTTGTGTAATTGAATCCTGACCCTAAAAGGGAGGAATCAAGGAATTTGCTTTTTAGTGAATACAGTTAGGACCTAAATATTCCAGTTTAGAAATTATATTCACACTATTGTCAGATATTTTAATACTAGGTATTTTTTCTCTGTTTCATATTTGTTTTCCATGCTGTAAAAAGTCATATTAGTATTCAGTTTCTATGGAACTTAACTGGGAAAAGTACAAATATTGTTCCCAGAACTTAAGACAGATAAATTAGTATCTAATCCAAATGACAGATTTTGTACATGTATTTTGCTTTCCCTCTAGATACGTATTGTATTACTGCAGCAGCAAATACAACGAGGCCAAGATGTCTTCATTTTCCGTCAGAGCGAGAACTGTAGAACAATGTGATCGAGGCGTTGGTCTTCTGTGGCCAGCCGGTCAGAACCCATCAACAGCTGTGATGAGCAGAGCAGAGATGGGGAAACAGGAGGCAGTCAAAGCCAAAGAAGGTTTCGGCCTGAAGCTGTGTGTATGACTGAAGCAGAGCAAGGCCAGGACCCAAGGAAACCCCAGCAGCAAGGGAAAAAACAGATTGACTCTCAGTGACTCATTTAGCTCCTGGATTGGACAAATCTCTCCCCTGCTGGCAGTTTGGCTGAGCATCAATGAGACAGATACCAGGATGAATAGCTTAAAATAATTAGGGGGCCAATCTGCAAAACTGCTCTCATCCAATTCTTTACTGTGTGATGAAAGACACAAAACAAATTACATTTAGATATTAAATATTAAGTCACTGGATTTACCTCCATTTGGTCCAAAGCAGGAAACTGGATAAAATTCAATTTTATATCATTGTGTTGATGGCCTGTTTTTCATCAAATGAGTGAGTGTTTGTTGGCAGGTCAGACTCTTTGACACATGGGGAAAATAGGTGCTTAATTTAAATGAGAATTAATGCAATCATAATTAACACAAATGTGAACAGAATTAAACACAGGCAAGAGTTCAGTTTAATGCTTAGCAGTTTAAACTATATGTTTTAGGAAACATCCTGCTTCAGCTGAAGACAATGGCAGTGTTGCCACTGAATTCAATGGAAACCGGAGTAGGCCTTCTAGGTAGACAGGCAGGATTCCCTGTACTTTATATTTAATGCACAAAAACAGAAGCAACAAGCTCATTTAGTATCAGTAAAGGTCAGTTAAAATTATAGAGACATCCTTTGGAGCAAATCTTCTGCCTTGTATTTGCATATTTATGAACTAGAGATTATGACAGGCCATTCCATTTATTAGAGCAGCGCTGCTATAGTTAATAGTCTGTCAGCGTTTCCATTATAAACCCCGTTTTTCAGTGTTTTAATTTCTCAGCCATTTGAAATCACATCAGGAAGCAACGTAGCCCTTGTGTTGTCAGGCCAGGTGCATTTTTTTTTAAATTAATAAAAATATATTTAAATGAGCTCAGCCATTTCTGATTGGGCAAATGTCATAAAATCACAAAGCCTTGGGGGATATTATTCTTTTTTCTTTTTTTTTTCGGGAGATTTTGACAATCGCTTCTTCTTTTTCTTCTCCTTATCTCATCACCTGGGGTCAAGTTATCATGCAAGCATCTGCCATCTTCTTCTGTCCAAGGCAGCACTAAAGTCCACTTGCTTACCATCTTCTTTGATGCAATCCATCCATCGCTGCTTCAGCTTTCCTTGGGGTCTCTTTCCAACCACCCTGTCCTGTCCCCAAATTCTCTTCATTCATCCTGTGCACGTGTCCAAACCAGCAAAGTTGCACTTCCTTGATTTTGTCAGCCACATCACAGACATTGACTTCCATCCTAATGCTTTCATTTCTAAATCTGTCCCTTCATGTAACTCTTTTTATTATGCAAAGACAGCTCATCTCAAACACCTGTCAGCATTGAACTTGCTGTATCTTACCCATGCTTCTTCACCATACAGCGTTGTGGAGTACACTTGGAATCTCAGTGTCAGTGGCGTATGCTTCTCATAAGCAACATCTAGGATGTTATTCCACACTCATCCAGCACTCTCCAGTCTGGACTGCAGCTCACATTCAAGCTTGCTGTCTTCCATAACCCAGCCACCAAGGTACTTGAACTGGTCACTTTGGTTTAGTCATGGTCCATTAATCTCTATATCCAGTTTCCCTCTGGCACCTCTACTGACTCACATGACCTCAGTCTTAGTCATGTTCATTTTCATCCCATGCCTGCTTAGCTGGTCAGACCACTGATTTACTTTTTCCTCTAGGTCTTCTTTTGCGGATGCCCTTATTGCTATATCATCTGAGTATAGCAGCTTCTCCCCTTTTCACATTGGGTTCTTCCTGCTGACATAGGCCATCAATATGATAAACAGCAGCGGACTGAGAGCTGACCCTGGTGCAGTCTGACTTGCACTTCAAAGGGCTTGTTGTTCCAGTACCTGTTCAGATCACTGTTTTAGGTGATGTATATAATGCATTCGCCATAAATATTAAATCCGTAGACATTCCATATTTCCTCAGCATTGGTGTGAGCATCCTTGTGTCCACTTTTTGACAAACACATCTATCAAAAACATCTTGAAGTTTTGAAAAATGACATTTTGCAAGCAGCAAGTATATAAAGGGAACATCAGTCCTTGGTGCAAAGTCGAAGTTGCTGGAGGTACTTATCAAGTGGTGACACCAGGCTGGTCCCAAGCACGTGTGAACCATTTGGCTGCACATGGTGCCCCTTGCCCTTGGCAGCCAAAGCATTGGGCTAAGGGTGACAGCTAGGAAGAGAGAGCATGTGAGACAGCAGGAGCCACATTAAGGTGAATGAGATGCCTTGAGTAGAACAAGCATCATGGGCAGATCCACATTGTTGCAGGGTAGGATGGAGAGTTATGAAACTGGCATCCCCGTAAGTGATTCTTCTACTTCTTCTGAAACTGGTTAAGACCAGCACTATGGTGACCGCATTGCTGTTATTTTGGAATATAACTTTTAGTACTTTGCTGAGCTTTTCCTAGTTTCCCTGCATGCAATATAGAGACAAGCTGCACCTTCCTCATGCCTATTTGAACTTCCTACTTATTCTGAGTGTCCCCAGCTTGTCCACAACAGAGGAATTCCATCTATTGCCAACTCCCTGGCAAAAGGAAGATTGCTGATTACAATGGCAATATTTAGGTGAGGGCAGGAATAGGAGTAAAGTGACAAAATTTTAAAAAATTGTAATTCTACCCACTTCAAAGGAGTCCCCAGGAAGAGGCAAACACCCAGGAGAACAGGCTTCCACCTGAAAACACATGCTTTTTCCCATCCTTCCTGTCACAAGATCCTGAGACTCTGGGAACCTAAGTGGGACCTGATAGCACCAATGTAAGGAAGCTGCCCCAGACTTAGCATGTATGATGCACTTATTGTGTAACGTATTATAAAAGCACCTGGCACAGAACCAAAACTCTGTATTTTCTTCCATGAACTGTGGCTGGAGTAGAAACTCTTAGTTGTAAAAGCTATGCTACATATACACTTTGAAAATATATACCTTTTAAGGTATGAGGCAGCTAAAGCCTCAGGTCTTAAAGCCTCCAGATTTTGACAGCAGTCAAATCCAAACAGATTCAAACTTTATGTCTAGCCAATCTCTGTAATGAGTAAAATAAAAGACCTGGATCAGGACACCATGTTCAAACCTCTGGAAAATTTGGATCCATCTCGAATAGCTCAGGCTCATCTCCACTTCTTTAGCACAACAATATTTGGGATAGTTGTCAATGTGATTCCTAATTTTAGGAGGTTCTTTTTTCCAAATTCCACCCCAGAATTATAGTAAAGAGCGATCTTCCTTTCCCTGGATAGACTGCAAAAAATTAATCCCTGGTCATGATAGTTGTTCGTAACTCAGAACTAGGCAGAATTAGGACTGGTGCTTCCTGATTGTTTTGCATTTGTAATAATAAAACTTTTTTTAAAAGTAAATGTTGCCTGATGTAGCAGTAATGAAGAGACTGCCAAGCATGTGTTCAAATATGTCTAGAGTATGCACTATTATATGTAATCTGATGGAAGATACATTCTGAAACTTATCTGAGTATTAGTTTTCACTACATATTTGTTTTGCTATATTTTATTTTTACTTTGCAGTGAAATAAAAAGACTTGCACAACTGATTTTAATCTGTCTCATACAAATTATTATGTAATTAGCCACAATAGGATGTGTGCAGTTGTGGGTGTGGTGGGTATATAGATTGAATGCCAACACTCATCTAGGTATGGAGTTGTAAAATTACACAATAACTTACACCCTGGGTGGGTGCTGTAATTATATTTTACATTAAAATAAGTTACATGAACAAAACAGAACACACTGTTTTTATCTTCCCACTGAAGTAGATCGTAGCAGAGGATTATTATAACAGTATTCCCTGGATATAGCATCTTTCATCTCCAAAGGACCCGATAATACTTTACCAACATAAATGTGATACGGAAACAACACATGAAGATCATTTCATCCACCAGTGAAATGAAGCTACCCCAGGGTGGAAATGCCGCAAATGCTGAATAATGCACAGCACTACTACACAGCAGTTTTATGCAGGAAGTGAAGATTACCATGTCCAATTGAAACTGCTGGAGAATGTTAAATAGGCTGAGTGTAATTACCTTAGTTAGAATTTGGCTGGACCCTGGAATTTATAATCCTCTATCTCACAAAAAGTTTCAGGAGACTGAACTCCATGGTACAGTAAAAAAAACTTTGAAATTTCACCAGATTTATTACATTTTAATGACTGAAATATTCTGCAAGCTTTGGGATCCTGAAACCTTTGAGGAAACATAGCGCCACACTATGAATCCAATGTTTCTCTGTTGTGTTTACCCCTGAGTATCTGGGTTACAATGAGCAGAAGTACTCAAGTGCAAGAGAGTTTGTTAGCCAACATCTGGAGAGCAAGTGGCTTCTGGTAGGATGTTTTAGATATGTGCTCTGTGAACCTATAATAATTTCTGACATAGGGCAAAAGTCTTCTTTGGCCCAAGTGCAAATCTTTTGCACATTTATCACTTGTTCAACATGTGGCACTTCTATTAACACTGATGGGTGGTCTATCCAGCCATCTGCAGATTATGCAATAGAGATCTGCAAGACAGATAAGAGATCAACAGTGCAGATCAAAAAGGTGAACTTCCACTTTAGATCATACTTGTACCCTTGTGTCTCTGTGAATTGTTCTGTTTAATTACAGTATTTTCTCTCTTTTGATATGGCTCCAAGGTGAAGAAACCAACAGAAGATTGGTATGGCAAAAACTGCAACAGCAAAAACAATCACCAAAAACACCTGCTCATTGTAAATGTAAAACCCCAGGTCCTCTACATGGGTGGGGTAGGTGAGTTGTTCTCTGAGGGTAAAGAAGATGATTTTATCTCTGCATATTCAAGTCTGAAGATCTTGAATGTGGTTTAGCAGGGTAATAAAAGTTATTCCTCAGGAGGAGGGATAGCTCAGTGGTTTGAGCATTGGCTTGTTAAACCCAGGGTTGTGAGTTCAATCCCTGAGGGGGCTATTTAGGGAACTGGGGTAAAAAACTGTCTGGGGATTGGTCCTGCTTTGAGCAGCAGGTTGGACTAGATGACCTCCTGAGGTCCCTTCCAACCCTGATATTCTATGCTTCCACCAAGCTGAACCGCTGTCAGGAAATGTACACAGAGATGTTAAGGGAAACTGCAGATTCTGGAAGAATTAGCAGCACAGACAAATAACTTAAAAATTAGTGACAATTAATTCTAATTTGTTACAAAAAATGACTCTTGCTAAATAAAACATCGAAGATTGCAAAGCTGCTTCCAGTTTCTCCACAATAATATTGACTTATTGGAGAGTCAGGAGATTCTCAAAGAAGTTAATTTGGTCAAATACTTAAGGAATTTGCTATCTTTGTTTGAATTAAACTACTATCAAGGTAGGTGCACACCATCTTGCCACATCTGCAGCCACAGAGGCTCCCATGATCATGGGGAATCTATTAATGTATAATGTATTGTATTTACTGCCCATGGTCTAGTGTTGCATTGTGTGGAGGACAAGCTGCTTCATACTGAATGAGAGCTCTTTGGGGAATAACACCTTGAGCCTCCTGGGAAACCCCTGCGTCTCTCAGTCTATCTCAAACATGAGTGGGGCATATCTGAGTTTCCCTCCTTGTTCTATTTAACAGGAAATCTCTATTTGCTATTCCCCAAATTGCATTCCCCACCCCCTCCCAAAACACAAAACCAGTTCTGGATATCTTGGTCTGATTCCAGTCTCATTTAGGGCCTGATCTAAAGCCCGTTGAAGTCAATGGGAAATACTTCAATGGGTTTTAGATCAGACACTTAAATTGATTTCACACCAATGTAAATCCACTGATCTAAACTGAGTTACTCCTGATTAAAGCTGGTGTAAGTGAGAAGAGGATCAGGCCTGTAAACAATCCCTGCCAGCGACTATTGAACTGAATTTACCGTCATCTAATCAGGTATATTGTAAGTGTTTGGGACAGGACTGATTGAACCATCCCTGTCTACTAGATCTACTGATGCAGAAAATGCTCACCTGTACCTCCTGTATTGCTACCTCTGGGCAGCTTGACACAAGTTACACTTTCTTTTGCTGCTTGAATGTTTGAGATGTACATTTAATTGTGATCTGGGCCTGCTGTGATAAGACTCTGAACTTCAACACTGAGAGGGTTTTGTTCTTCCCAGATGACTCTCCAAAAGTTCGCCAAAAGCAAAGTTGAAAACAAACAAAAAGTCACTATGAATGAAAATGTGCAAATTTGTTTATTAAAATTGCCAGGAAATCTAGATGTTTGATTTGCCGAGAACCCCTGCTTTAAGGTATGTGGACTCTTATGGTGCTCATGATGGGTGAAATTCACCCTGTGCTGAGGGCCAGCACAAGCCTACGTAGCACTTAAATTCAACTTCAATCCTCAAAATGAGGCTTCATGCTGGCCACCTGCACAGGGGTGAAAAATCATTCAGTGCAGAGAACACAGTGAACGAATATTGAAGTTCATATATATTGAAATGGCTAATAAGAAAAGTTTGTTGTTTTTATTTTATGATGGATAAACCTCATAAATTGAAACTGATTATATGAAATATTTAGGGTTTGGAATAATCTGTTGAAGAGTATAAGGTACTCCTGACTCAGGCACATGTAGCTATTCTTCAAGTAACATATTTACTTCAAACAGAAGCTATGCACTTTTTTAAAAAAATAGGTAGGACGTGTATAGCCAGATTTCCTCAATATTGTGGTATGGCTGTATTAATTCAGAAATGTCTAAGGGCTTGTCAACATAGCACCTTAGTCCACACTAGCTAGAGGGTTAGGTATGTCGCCAAGAATTAGCATTGGTAGAGACATGCAGATAACCCTTCCTTTACTCTGGCGAGGTACAAAGAAAAATCTCTCTCTTTTGGCAGATATGGTTCATGATTTAAGACTTTTCTTTTTAAATGAATTCAATGGCCATGAAAAGTGATAGACTGACAGCCTGAAGCCCTCTTTTCATACTCAGTACAGGTGCAGTATGGGCAACAGCCATGCAAGACTCTGCCTGCCAAATTACCTCATCATTTCTCTGGAGGCATTCCTGCTAGGCCGATGAGAAGGCAGTTCATTCTCTAAGACCACTCAGTCCATCACCTCTCTGCTAAGTCTGCCACAAGAGTGTCAACAGTTTGTGATATGGATACCTGTCAAATCAGATTAAGGCCTCCTGCTCATTTCACAGGGGCCACTACCCAGCCATTATATGATAGAGACCTTTGCTTGCTACTCACCTTGGCCATATGTGGACTTGCAAGTTATTGGAGAAAGACTGGAGCCCATTACATATTCCCTGAGCCATTTAGTCCCTCAGTATTTAGCACGTGTAAACATCCATCTGTAAAATCATATTTTTTCTTCTCTGTAGGGTATGATTCTCCCCCACACATACGCACACACTCACACACCGTGTAGCCCAGGCTGTAGAATGTTGCTGTTCCTAATACCAGTTCAAGCAATGGAATGCTTGCAAATCACACAAAACGCCTCTCAACATTACACAAGTGTTCCCAAGGCTGTGGCCACCCCACTAGTTCCAAGCTGGTCTTGAGAATGCTCTGCCTCCGCCAGTTCAATTCAAGCACATTCAGGGCCTTGAGCGAGTCACATGGAGAGGCCCTATAAGGAAACAGGAAAGAAGGGAAAGATTAATTGAGCGGCAAACACTGTAATCATACAAACTCCATAAAAGCTGTAACAACTACTTGTCATTATAAAATGAATAACAGTAACCGCCTCCTTGAGAACTACCACCAAAGGGTGTAGCCGCTGAACCTTCAGGCCACAGTAATCTCCATTGGCTGCCAGAAGTTCCAGGGGAATGTTATGGCAGCCAGGGACTGTCAGTGGCAAGGGAATCTCTACCCCAGTCACAATGAGTGGTGTGACAGAGGAGGTGTTTTATTAGCTGTATGCCACCTGAGGCTACCCCTCTACAGGGAAGAGCCTGCTGGAGCTGCTCCTACTTTGTGCTGCTGCTAAGATGCAAAGTAGCCAGAGTGCAGCCCAGAAGAAGGGCCTGTAATAGAAACCACGCTAATTGTATAGATACATAATGGTTAATGGTGGCTAAACCAAGGGTAGGGACGTAGATGGGGGCAACAGGAAAATATTAGCTGGTTGTTAAGATGAGATTAAGTTTTAAATATGATTTCAGCTGTTAGAGAGGCAGATGGTTCTGTTACTAATGATCCTTTACTTGTAGAGCAGACTTATAAACACCTCTATAAATCTGCTGTTGTAGAAGTTAATAATAAAAAATAGAGCATTCAGTTGCACAATGTGAAGTCAGTAGGTTAGCAGATGGGGATATTCTTTTAAACAGGGTATGACTCAAAGACAGTTTATAAAGGTTGAAGCTCTGTGCCTTTCTGACCTAATGTGATATTCATACAAAGTTTACTGACATGATGTCCAGCTTTCATGTCAGAAGGGGTCTTTGCTTGAGAGCTTTAAGTTTGGGTTCAGTTTTGATATTGAAAGAAAAATCAGTTCCTCCCAAGTTCATATAGAACAATGCCTTTATTCAGCTCTGAATGAAAAATTCATGCTCAGATAC